CATAAATTTGTGACTCTTTTACATTACTACTGCTTCCCGTAGTTGATTATGATTTAATGGTCATTTAATAATTAATAAAACTTTAGGTGATTCCTTATCGAGTACTACTTGGCGGGTTCGTGCATTTCTTGACATAAATTTGTGTTCATTATGCCAGTCATCAAACTCAAAACCAATGTCAGCTTTCTATATACAGCTTATTAACAATAACTCGTAAAAAATAATCACGGCAAAAGCTTAATAACAAACATATAGTTGTAGGATACTATCAGTACGTTCAAAGTAAGTACTTGGAATTCCTGGCACTGACCAGCCAAGTAGTACTCGATAAAGAATCAGCTAAAGTTTTATAATTTATTAAATAACCATTAAATCATCATCAACTACGGGAAGCAGTAGTAATGTAAAAGAGTAGTGGTTTTCACTCCTATAACGTTAACTATAACGTTACTCCTATAACGTTTTATAGGAAATTTTGAAAATACAATTAAAATGATGGGCCAGTGCTAGATCATATAATAGGCAAACATGTAGTGACTTATGTACTTGGCCTTCATAATCTGATACCAATACTTTTTATTAGAGGAATACACAGCACTCCTGTACTTGGCGCAGTTTTTTACACGTAAGTGTTTTTTGGGGGATATCACAAGTTTTTGTTGTTCAACGGGACACAGAAGCTCTAAGCACTGAAATCTATATTTTCACAGATATAAAATGTAAATACATTATGATATCGCTAATCAGAAAAATATATTGCGTCGTCGATAATGTTTAATGGCATATAAATATAATTTATAAGTCCCTTTTTTTTTTAGAAATGCATAAAGATATATACAAATTTTTAAAGAAAATGTAATCTTCAGTGCATATAACTTTTTCTCATCTACAGCGGTTAATAAGATATTTCTTTCCAAATACAGGTATAAGAGTTGACTCAAGTAAAGAGTCTCTGCGAGCTGTGCCCTGTACAGCCGGTTGCCTGTACTTGGCGCAAGACTCGACCGAGTCTCTTGATGAATAATCGATCAATTTTTACTACGTTATTTCGAGGAAACCAGATATCTCGTTAAAAATGGATCAGCTGCACACAAAATTCGAACTATTTTATTATTAAATCACATATTAAAAAAAAATCTTAGACGATTATTGCTTCGAATTTCATGCCAAAATTATATTCTTTGTTAAAACCAGATTGATGTGTGGCTATGAAATTTTTTTATTTTTATTCCTATGCCTTCTGTTCAAATTTTTCTCGTAGCGTCACTGTCGACATGGCAGAAGGGTTTTGAGACAGGTCCTAGAGAGTCCTCTGTACTTGATGAACGTCTGTTGATTTAGTGCTTCTGTTGATGGAGGGAAGCAGAGGGAACGCGTCACTCAATTTCGTCTCGCTGGCTAATTGCCCTTCAATTATTTCGCAACGGCGCTGAATGGTGTCGCAACTTCTGAACTCCACAGCAGATACGTACAACAGGAAGGGTTGACATCCACGTGTAATCTACGTAGCCCAATCGCATACGTATTTACAATGCACTCCAACACAGCCTATTTGTATATACGCACATACTGTACCGGGTGTTCCAGTTAAAAATAACCATCGTAGACAACCTACGTAACTATCATAGTCACTTTTAGCTAGGCAATCTGGTATAATTACGTATTACATAGATACCAACTTCAACGCGATAGAATCTTTTTATTATATAAAAATTATATATCTTATTACAATTTTACAAGAAATGCATGGATAATAATGCACGTGCAGTGTAGCCGCATAGACGTGCAGTATTGAGATGCAGTTGGCGAAAAAAAAAATATATATATATAAACGGAAAATCAGAATGCAAGCAATGCCTCTGTCATTAAATAATTTCCGAAAATCGGCAAATTTGCCACATCGCGATGAACCGCCACAGCGACCCATAGGGACGAACCTGCTGGAAAAACTACACGTAGAACGAAATCTAATGACACCTCGACCGTTACTAATGACACTAACGAAGTAGTTAGATGTTAGAGCGAATGTCGAGGAGGGCGCTGGAGTCTGGCCGGTGGGTCGAGCGAACCCACTTACCGACTTATCACGTAGTTACCTAATCTGTTTATCCTGCTGGGGTGGTCGGATGGTCAAGGGGGGCACAGGAGAGTGGGAGATGAAAGAGACGCAGGAGCAATGCATTTTCAGTGAGCTAAAGAGAGACGGGAGTTGCTGGTTACTGGTGACTAGTCGTCGGTGTTTCGGTTGGTACCCGAGAAGGGTGCCCATCCGGACGTCCCTGAGGGCCCCCTGAGTTCCCGGCCTTACAATCATCTACTCTGCGCTATGTGGCCTCGACGTACACGTTTCAACAATGCCCTACAATTCCTTGTGTGTACGTACGCGCTTACGACCCTAAAAATAAACGTATGGTACTATCTCCTTACCAATAGTGACTCGTTAACGGGTTGCTGGGCATGGACCTTTGTTAAAACAAAAAAAAAGATTGTGTACTGTAATCGGCCAACATCAATGGATCAGCTTGCATCAGTTGCTCCCTAAGATATTTTGTGTGGTTGAATTTCTTCAAGAAAATAATTTCTGCTTTTAACGTAATCTTTACTATTTTCGTTGTATATTTGTTTCACAAGTACATTTAAATACTCATATTATAATTTTGCGAGTCATTATTATTTTTGGTACAAGGGATACATTTGTTCTTCGCGATTGATCCAGCCAGCTCTGAGCTGGACACGAACAGGCATATATTAAAATCGAATTTTCATGTTTACAATTATTTATACTAATGCTTTGTAATTCAATATAAAATTGTTGCCAATTCTGTTGTGACAGTCTATTACTTTCGGTAAATAGTACTGCTTGTGGAAGGGTCTTCGCATACTTAAACATAATTATGAGCAATTGTCTTAAGCTCAGTAAATGTCAGATACTTCTAAAGGCCATTCCAGCAGAATTCATGCATACTACTATGCCTATACAAGTGGACAAAAACCCAGTAACAGGGAAATATTCTTGGCGCTGTACGCCGCCATTCGAGTCTCATTGAAGGACTGTCTAAAACGTTCAAACTAGAATAGAACTCTAGCGTGGGCATCGGGCCGCAGACCGAATCGGGAGTCGTCAGAAAGTGCAAACTAAGTTTATCGAGTGTCCAGTTTGTAGCGACCACTTTGCGTAACTCGGTCTAGCCGGTAATGTAACTTCATCGATGTGTTCCGCCAGAGCAACTACCGACACAATCAATCTCCCTCTGGTATATTCCGTCTAAGCAGATGAACCCCTTGCTGTTCATGCTGGATAGAAATGCCACTGGTGACGGTACAGGACCCGTAGACGGATACCAGCACGAGACCGGAGTACCGTCGCGCGTCAGCCCTCTTGAAAATAAAATAAAAAAAAAAAACCCCAGTAGAAATGGATACCCTAGTAAAATTCACTTGCACGCTCTCACCCCCACGTTAATAAAATATTGCTTCTAAAAAATAGAGCAGAACAGGAGGAGTAACGATGGAAAATGTAGCAATTGAAAAATGTAAAATGAATATAAATTTGTTGAACCGAAGGGCGCGGTTGAAAAAGAAAAAGGGAGATGGTATACGATGGGCATCGGGATGGGAATAAGGGCTGAGGGCGAAGATGGGGGGCGACAGGGGACGGGGTTTTGTATAAGGCTAGGGTTAGAAAGTGATATATACTTACAAGGATGAGTAGGGGCGAAAGGATACTCGAGAGAAGGGGGCAGCCGCGGGGCGGGGAGACCCGGGGGGCAATGGTAGCAGAACATCCCTCCTGCTCTGGCACCCACCCCCACCCCCACCC